CTACAACAGTTGGATAGCTATTCCCTACATTATTGGTTAGGATTGCATAATGCAAACTGTTGATTTTCAAGATAAAAAGAAGCGTTCATAGCCCGCATTCCAATGCTGGAGCAGGAAAGCTTAAAATACCTACCAAAACACTTGAATACAGACATACTGTCAGTATGGCATGGCTCTGTGCAGGTGTAAATGAAGTTAAGCCAGTTAAATCCCAACAGCCAATCAGCAAGGAGAATAGAGGAAAGCTGCATGCCTATTGGTTGATGCCTTGCATGCCATTGTGATGACTCATGTCCAAATGTGGTAAACACTGCACACTTACACAGTAATACATTAGCTATTACACAGCCAAAAAACTCAAATAAAACCATTCTAAAAGCCTGTATCACAATAATTTAAAAAACGCCTAGGGGTATTTGCCCACTGTACCTCCATACCAAATTTCAGGACCTTAGGCCCTAAAATGAAGAAGCTGAATCCATTTAAAGATATGGCAGGAGGAGGAGAAGGAGGAGGAGAAGGAGAAGAAACATCAGAAAAAGCAATATGGTTTCACCACACCACTTCGTGGTGTGGTGAACCCATAATAACAGCATCTTCATCGGAGTGTCTATCGACAGACTTGTTCACAAAGATTGCAAAAATATTGTGATTTGAATAGAATAGAATAGAATAGAATAGAATAGAATAGAATAGAATAGAATAGAATAGAGGAGGAACACCATTTCGTAATAGAATGTGGACTTAATAGCAAATGGAGAAATGAACTGTATTGTTTTGTACAAAACCTATTTCCCTACTTAATACACTAAAGCACTGTAGAAAAAATTAATTTCCTGGTGCATCTAGACAAACCATCCATCGAAAAACATATCTTTTTCTTCTACAATAACTGAAAAGCAAGGAGAATTTGAATTTATATAACGATAGTTAGTTTCTTTTTGAATCTATTCATCCTCTTTTTGCTGTGACCTGTACTTAGCCAAGTGTGGCAAAAATGTGCAAGAAAGGTCGTCATTCAGTGTTATTCCATAACAACGCTCGATATGAATTGACTATTCAAACTTCTACAATTATCCCAATTTCTCTAAACTTACAGACCAAGAAAAAACTATTCTTCTTTTAACTTCCCAAAACCCACAAATTTTGGAAAAGGTGGTACATTACGTCTTCCATAGTTTACAGAAGAGAAGTCAAACCCTTCAGACATAGTTTTAGACATAGTTATAGTTCTAGACAGCTTCCTTTATCATGTAGACTTTAGTTATTTTATACTCTATTTCATTGTTCTTTTATGTTTTGTAATTTGCAATTAGCCTCCGGGCACGAATTTGCAATAAACTTTTCATACATTTGCCGCCTTACCGATATCGCTCCTCATACCACTGTATGCAGCGGTACCATACCGCCGTGTCCCCGTTCCTGGTACCGCCACCAACAGGCCTTTCCTCTCAGATACACGGTCCACCTCGTCTCCTCCTACCGCCGGCTCGGGGCTATCTCTGCCCGCCCAGGGCCTGTACACTCCCAGCAACAGGAACACGGACCTGATGATACCCGGACTCCTCGCGATGTCATCTCCTTCGTCAGCCTCCTGTAACAGATCTAACGAAATCTCCATATCTTACTTTAAGTAGAATACAATTCCAAACGGTGCGTGTACTTGGATCAAGGTGGTTTCAACCTCCTTGCGTGGATGTAGTATTAACTGTCCAGTTTTAGTTCTTGTTTTTCGCATAGGTTACTATTATTTGTTACTAATGTTCGCGTTGCGACGAAACCAGCGTTCAAAATGGAGAAGTCCTCCATTGTGTTATGGTAGGATGTAATAGATACTTCCGTTTTTTCTACTTTCACCACAAATTTCATTATACCACAAAACAAATTCAGTGTTTTTCTTTCAGTTGGCTGCAGTAAGTTAAATTGTGTTTAAGTTTCACGTCTGATGACAGAAATTTATTTTTATGCCTCATTTCTTTCAAATCCGCAGAACAGCAAAGTCAGTTGACGTTGCTTTTTTCTATCTATTCCAACATTTAATCACAAGACGTGGTGACTCCAGTTTTTTTTTAAACCACCAACGCACACAAACGAACGGGCAACTGAGATACTTTATAGTTAAATATTCGTGTCAAGTGTCTTTCCCAAGGGCACAAGATCGGTGGCATGACAGGATTCGAACTCTGGATCTCTTGGTTCCGAACGCTTTGTCGTTACGCCACACGACCCCAACAACGTTTCTTTCATCTAATTGTTTGTTTAAAGCCCGCGTCACACTTTCAGGACCTTCCTACGACTTCCCTCCCGGCTACTCCCCCAACAAAAATCGGCACACGGGGTTGGTAGTCACCTACACATGTACAGTTATTATGTTTACCGAAGGAAAACATATTGTTTTTGCTCCGTTTCTTCCACTTCTTTTTCTCCAGTGACCTATGACCTGACCAATGACATGATTTGTTTACTTCTGTCACCATGGTGACTGGTGTTGGGTTACATAATGTTGCAATTTCATGGTCTGCTCTGCTCCTGTCACCATATACTAGTCGTACATGTATGTATTTGAGTAAGAATTAACAGAGCAGACCATGTCCGAAGGTAAACATTATGCATTTGCTTTGCAAATGTTACTTCTCTAGTTTTATATAAATCAGCAAAGGCAAATCCTAATACATGTATTTATTTAGTTAGTAACCCATAATATAAGGACAACATAATTATTCATCAGTATGCATTACAACTACTGTTACACAAATTGTTTCATTTTCACCATTTTATTTTATCATTTCCCAGTGTTTTGTATTAATAATAATAATAATAATAATAAATGGTTTATTGGCCAAACATCACCCGTGCAATCGCAGCCTTATAGTGCTGAATTGATGCAGGGTTTACAATCAGATGGTACAAATGGTAAACATAATACACATAATAATACACATAATACACAACGTCATATTACATATTTGTTCCACATTTTTTGTGGACCTGTCGCAAGGGTCTGTGCGGCTGCCATTCGGCGCCACAAAGTGACCTCAATACGGCTTTCCCCAACCGGAGTTAGGTGCCCATTCACACCTGGGTGGAGTGAGGAAAGTCGTGTAAAGTACCTTTCCCAAGGGCACAACGTCGGGGATGTCCAGACATGTCCCGGGTACGACTCGGGATCGAACCCGGGTCTCCGGGTCTGCCGGTTCACAGTCGAATGATCTACCACTACGCCACCCGACGCCATGTGTGCTGTTTAAACAACACTTGGAGGTATAATGTTTGCTGTTACATATTTGTCACTTTGATAATATTTTATTGTAGTGTCCTACGGTCTATTCAAAGATTGCATGACATCAGAAGAATCTAAGGCCGTGTTTAAGTGAAGTCACCCAAGGCGCTTTACATGTGGTTTACCCCGAAGCCGGTTTCAAGTGGCTCCATCTGAACACTCCAAATCACACTGAAAGCGCCTCGATCCCAAACCACTTCTAGAGGTGGTTTCGAATCGGTTTTCCCGCATCGCGATTTGCGTCTGAACGCAATGTGATTTCAATGTGACTTCACTTGGTCATGTATTACGGGGTGATATTTCTTTATTTATATGCAATACCAAATTTTACGTGTCAGCAACTTTAAGAGTAGTAATGGTCAAATAATGTGTCCGTTCTAGGACGAGCTTCACCGCCTCTGGCGGGACCACGTCGGCATTCGGCCGAGATACGCTGGGAGGGGGACACCAGCAAGCAGGTCGTTGACCTCTGACAATAATAACACGCTACCTAGCGTGTTTTGATTAAACAACAATGAATGTAGTTTCGGAGAATCGTGATCGGACACGTTTTAAAAGGAATGTATGGCACGTGGACCAGATGTGAGGAATGTGAGTTACCCGAATCGCGGTTTGGGTGACTTCACATAAACACGGCCTAAATGTTCACGGCAGTAGAAATCACTTTAAGGCATCCCAAAACATCTGTATCACTGACTGCATGTTGAGTTTAATTTCGTAATTATTCTTAATAAGATTTTTGGTATCATATGGTCTTAAACATAAAAAAAAGTATAGTAGAAAAATCACTGCAAGACATCCCAAAACATCTGTATAGCTGCCTCCATGTCTTAAGATTCTTGATATCATATGGTCTTTATCAATCCAAGAAAGATCAGTAAAGATTACTAGCCTCCACCAGGCCTTCCTACGAGGGTACGGAACCTAGAATTCCACAAAAAAAGGGTAAGGCCACACCAAGTAAATTTTATGGATGACGTCCGCGCGCGCATTGATTTTGGCTTGTTTCTAGAAAAAAACAAGAAATTCCGCTTCCTCCATGACCAAAGAGTCACGACAGTGCCGCAAATCGTCAGATTGACGTGAAACCCGGAACGCGAAAACAGGATAGGACGACAACTGCTGTTCCACCTGATTTATTGCTGTTTTGATGATGAATAAAAGACTTCTTGCTTGTTACACTGTGTCACCTCATTCAATTTGTGTCCTAACATTTGTCGTCTCTTAGTATATTTGTAATCTAGGCATCTTGTTTTTTATTGCCCTTCTTGTTTTTTTCGCCCTCTCGCATTAAATTTAGGGTCTCCAAAGGACGTCATCCATAAAATTTACTTGGTGTGGCCTAATAGTTGGCTAGGAGAGTCAGTCCAGAGGATGGTTAATTCCTCTCTCTAAATGTACAGGAAAATGAGCTCTTCACTGGCTAAACTCCCCTAGTCAATTATTCTCCCTATTGGCTTAAGTTTCCTTTTTATTTTGATTCTGAATTGTTAGTCTGGTTGAGACTACAAATCACTGCAAGGCATCATAAAACATCTGTATAGCTGCCTTCATGTCGACTTTCTTGCTGATCCTGAGATTGGGCTCCTTGTTTCGTTAAAGCATTTCAATAATAAATCTCCAGAATTATTGTCTTATCAAAAGGAAAGAATGATACATTGTACATGTACATGGTGTTTGTTGATAGTAAGAATGATATATACCACTTGTATTGAATATCAACAAAAACATTCTATTTTGGTGTCATGTAGTCTTTAACAATCCAAAAAGTGCAGTAGAAAAATTACTGCAAGGCATCATGAAACATCTGTATTGCTGCCTTCATGTCGACTTTCTTGATGATCCTGAGATTGGGCTCCTTGTTCCAGACGCCTCGGTAGTCGCACACCATCTGACCTCGCGTGACCTCCCCGTGTAGCTCCACGGTGGCGTACACGTCCTCCGACTCCTGCACGACCTAGGGTCACGGAATTGAAAAGAAACAGAGCCACTCACAACTTCTGCAAAAAGACCTGAATACCCTGGAAGAATGGCAAAGTAAATGGCTCATGCACTTTAATCCCGAAAAAGCGGTTATACCGGCTATACAGATACAGATACAGAAGCCGGTGTGTTTATGTCAAAGGGCGTTTATACTGGCTATACAGATACGGAAGCTGGTGTGTTACACCGAAGGGCAGTTATACCGGCTATACAGATACAGAATCTGGCGTGTTACACCGAAGGGCGGTTTACCGCCTATATATATACGGAAGCTGGTGTGTTATTCCAAAGGGTGGTTATAACGGCTATACAGATACAGAAGCTGGTGTGTTACGCTGACGGGCAGTTTTCCAGCTATATATATACGGAAGCTGGTGTGTTATTCCAAAGGGTGGTTATACTGGCTATACAGATACAGAAGCTGGCGTGTTACGCCGAAGGGCGGTTATACTGGCTATACAGATACAGAAGCTGGTGTGTTACGCTGACAGGCGGTTATACTGGCTATACAGATACAGAAGCTGGTGTGTTATGCAGAAGGGCGGTTTTCCGGCTATACAGATACAGAAGCTCGGTGTGTTATGCTGAAGGGTGGCAATACTGGCTATACACATACAGAATCTGGTGTGTTACACCGAAGGGTGGTTTTACCGGCTATACAGATACAGAAGCTGGTGTGTTATGTCGAAGGGCGGTTTTCCGGCTATATATATACGGAAGCTGGTGTGTTATTCCAAAGGGCGGTTATACCGGCTATACAGATACAGAAGCCGGTGTGTTACGCCGAAGGGCGGTTTTTCCGGCTATACAGATACAGGAGCTGGTGTGTTACGCTGAAGGGCGGTTTTACCGGCTATACAGATACAGATACAGAAGCTGGTGTGTTACGCTGAAGGGCGGTTTTACCGGCTATACAGATACAGAAGCTGGTGTGTTACACTGAAGGGCGCTTTTACTGGCTATACAGATACAGGGACAGACAGATACAGACCTCAGGGTGTGCCGCGACGATCAGGGCAAAGGGGTCGCAGGTGTGGTAGTGAGGGCCGTACGACTTTGCAGCCTTTTCACGCTCAACACTCGTGGCAAGGATGGCTGCGTGGAACTTCCCGCGCTCTGTCGGGATGCCCATAATCCTGTCCCATTCATCCTAGGACAAGGCGGAAACGAAAAAGCAAATTTGAAAAGAAATATGAAAACTGAAGGGGCTAGCATGTAATCTCTCCAAGCAGATCTTTCGGTGGCCTACATAAGACTGTACCAAATTGGCCAGGCAATATCCATTAGCCAGAGCAGTGTCCAATTGGCCATCCAGGGATAGTGCATGGCCAATTTGATACTGTCTTTTCCAGCTACAGAAAGATATACAGTAACTGTACTTGAAGATTAGCTAGCATGTACATATAAATTCAAGACCTACATGACTAGAGAGAACATATGGCAAATATAAGATGAAACAAATTCAACATTCACTCAAAACTATAGGCTTTGACTCATTTTAACTACTTCAGGGTAATATAATGAATTCCTATATATAAACCATGTGGTTTTGTGTTGGCCAATGATATTGCAGCCTCATAATTAATTTCAAATGCAGGCTCCTGATTGGTCATTCACTTCTTGCTACATGATACATGATATGGCAAAACCTTTTTTGTGTCAAAGTTTTAGTTTTGACCTAATTAAGGTCAATTTAGCATCAGTACAATGTTAGTGAGAGTAGTTGTGTTAAACTAGTACATGAACTACTTACATATGTTATAGCAAGTTCATTAATACATGGCTCCCAGGCTATAATTTTCATAAGGACACCCTGGTAGCTGTTTAGAACCATGTTGGCTGCTTCTGGGTCGCAATAGAAATTAAATTCTCCTGAAGGTTGGATGTTCCCAATACCTGTAGCAAAACAGGAACACACATCTTTCAATAAGGAGTAAATTAAATGTTTAAGTTGCAATGTTTTGTGGAATGGGCTTTGCTGTTCTCCTGTGGGTATGAAAGAAATGAGGCATAAAAATAAACTTCAGCCTGAGGTCAAACTTAAAACACAATTTAACTCACTGCAGCCAACTGAAAGAAAGAGAAAAAAACTGAATTTGTTTTGCAGTATAATGAAATTTGTGGTGAAAGTAACAAAAAAGGAAAAACTTTTTGATATGACTCTCAGTTTGGTACTTTTAATTTGTGGTCCTGTTTTGCTATGACTCAGTGGTTATGCATTATAGAAAGCCAGTCACGACTGCAGGTAATTAGTGCATGCAATTTACACAGCTTTTGCACAAGATTTAACCATTGTTTAAATGCACTCCCCCCCCCTAAAAAAACAATATAAAACCTTGTGAAAAATATGTGGGAAGGAAAGTTAAGCAAGAAGTGTACTGCATGGCCACAAGCTCTTGAGAAGGAAGCCCTATCAGCCTCTGACAGAGACTGTAATACAGGCCACTGACACAGTGTTCTCGCCAGGCCTTTTGATCATAGGGGCCCCTTATGCTGTGATTTGGACCCCTATTCTGTCATTTAACCAGCATAAGGGTGTTTTTTTGGGGGGGGACCGGGTTCATAAATAAAAAAAATGAAACTTTAGAATAAACTACACCAACGGGAAAACCTTCACAAAAATCTGTCCCTCATGAAGTGAGAAATAGTGTCTCAGGGTATAAGTGAGTTTCAACATTTTTTTGGAAGAATACCAGACCCCCTGCTGTGTTCATGTTTTTGGGACTTGATGCACAACTTGTGCCGCGAAAGTTGCCATTCTGTACCTGACCCCTATCTATGCTGTGAAAAAAATCCTGGTGAGAACACTACTGACATACCCAGGGGATGCCAGAGTCACTGCTGAAGCGACAAATCTCATAGGGTAAGTCTGACACAGGACACGTGTAGCTGCTCAGGACCATGTGGGCTGCCGCGCTGTCATACGCAAAGTTGAACTCTGCAGTCGGCGTCACACGGCCTCTTGCTTACATCATCAGGAAAGAAATTGACTTAAAGTTAGAATAACAAGAAAAAATGATTAGTTGTCTAAAATAATGAACTGTGGGTATTTTTTAACCCTGAAATAATGAATATAGCGTTAGGTATAAATATGGATATAAGTACACAATGATTGAAGGAGAAACAAACAAAAGTTTGCTACATTTTTTGTTGGCCTATTATTATTAAACAACTTTTCTAATATGTTATAATTTTTTTTTAAACTTGGATATGCTTCAAATATTTCCATCTATTTTAATTGTTACATGTTCAAGCTAGACCATGCATGTAGCTTCTGCAATACTTGTATTGAATAATCATACATATTTGTCATTAATAATCTTAATCTTAAACCAGACAGTACCATTGATGTTGCCTCCCATGATGACCAGTTCCTTGAGCCGTGCAGGGAATTGTGGGTCCATCCTGACGGCTAGGGCCAGGTTTGTGAGAGGCGCTACCGCAACAAGGGAGATCTCACCTGGAGGGGGGGGGGTAAGAGTGGTGCTTTAGCAAATCCAGTCAAGCCCCTAGCTGTCACACATAGCCAAGTATGGCCTCCCAACACTTCCAAACTGCCCAAACATGGTTGGGAGGTCAGGAGCAAGCTTGGCTGTGGTTGGCTGCTGTTTGATAAGGTTGACTACTGTTTGGCAGGGTCTACCTAATGTTTCATATTGTTTAAAACATTTGGGTGTGGATGAAAGGTTTAGCCATGGTTGGCTAATGTGCGTGGCTGGTGTTTGGGAGTAGGTGAGCAGTGTTTGGGGCGTGCTTTAGTAGAGTGGTCAAATCTAACTCCAATTCAGTTTGATTCATATGAAAAGGTAGATGTAGCCTATTCTGGTCATCCTGCTCCCGAATTTTACTTAGCCACGCATTATGACACATATGACTCATTTTTACTCATAGCCCTTGTAACTATGATGTAATCTTTGGTCAAATACACAAGTGCAGGCTCCCAGTCAGCTTCTGGAATCATAACATTGTGTCTGACCTTATGTGGTCTGTGGTTAGGGAATTCCCCCTACCCACATGCTGTCATACAATTCTACGAATACACAAGTGCGCGCGCACACACACACACACACACACACACATGCACGCCCAAAACAATACCTCTACACAAAGGTAAAAATTACACAAACCTGGATGTTCTTTTGACAACCTGAGTAGGGCGTTGACGGCATGTTCGGACTGTACCAACTCCTCGCTGGGAGGGTCAGGGTCGGGTACATCCCCCAGTCCGTCCTTCCCGTGCCAGTACCGGGCGTCGACAAGTTTTCCCAGGATAGGGACGTTTGCTCCTCTGTATACAGGAACCTGGGAGTGCATCAAACAGAGATGTACAAAAAAAAACAACATTTGACAAGGTGGTCTTGTGGTTAGAGTTTCTGACTTAATTTTATCTGTAATAAGGCCACAGCAAGTAAATTTTATGGATGACATCCTCCACAGACTGCAAATCTAATGCAAGCGGGCGAAAAACAAACAAGGTTCCTACAATTTGAAATTTTGACTATCATTGTACAAATGGTTTTGATTCATTGGGAACATCACATATAAACAGCCAGCATCACATATCACTGCATCAAAGTAAGAAACAAAACATTAAATCAGAGCATTTTCTTGTCTCCTCTCTTCATAGTTATTTGCCATCCACCTTCCGGCATGGCAACAGACGTCTTTGTCCATTTTCGGCATATTGACCACTGTCAATTTAGGCAACAAAATTTCTTTTTTTTTCAAAAACAGGCAAAAATGAATGCGCATGCTGATGTCATCCATAAAAATTACTTGTTGTGGCCTGAGCTATGGATTTGGATCCTGGCCAGCATGCCAGCATTTCTAGCTTTAGTAATTTTTGCTCACCAGATGCTAAACCGGATAGTGAGTGTGAGTGTGGTTGCTTCCCTTTTGGATGGAAATAATTGCAAATTTGGAAGCCTAGTGTTTTAGGAGCCACATTTTGAGCATGACAATCCCACTGCACTTATTGAAAAAAGCTTCTAGTCCAGTCCTATGCAGCTAATGTGCTACTAAGTAATACAATACTTTAAATACAAAACTGGTGTGCTATTATTACACTTAAAGGTGGCTTACAGGCTATGTGAAAGAAACATGCCAAAATCAAATAGTCTGTATTACTTACTAGTAGAGTACTAGTATTGATACTTACATCTAGCCGTCCAAACACCTTGAGGACCCTGAGGACATTCCGACACACCTGGTCAACATCAACGTTACCTGCTACACAGGTGATACCAAGTACCTGCAGATTGGTTTCAATAAAATAAAATACAATTTGATATGTAGGTGCACATTGTATATATAACTCACCAAAGTAAATGTATCCATCAAAATGATAATTTTTATATCAATGCATGATATCAATAAAATGCTCAAAGTCAATGCTCAAAATACATTGTACATGTACCAATGTGCTGTAGACTGATACAGGTAAAATTGGAACTGTGCAGGTAGTGTAATTACTGATTTTTTTCATGGTACTTTTATGTTCCCTGTTTTCACTGTCACTACTGTACAGTGAACTTATCATTACAGTTAACAAATAATTCCTGGACTTTCTTTTTCCTGCACCTGTCGCCACCGTGAATATATAGTTCCGTGAACATGTTCACTTTTCTCAGACCATGAACTTTTGCTACCGTAAACATAAAGTGAATTACAGTATTTCTGATGTCTACCTGTACAGTGTTAGTGAAGTGGAGACTACCACAGCAAACATTTCAGTACTTACAGTAGAATGCTCATATATATATATACCTGTACATTTGGCTGTGTGAGAGCCAGCATGATAGCCTGGGCGTCATCATGTCCACAGTCCACATCCAGGACTATCAGCTTCTTGTCTTGCGTACTGCTGCCTGACATAACTGCACGATACTAGTCCCTATAAAAAAACGGTTGAGAGTGTTCACCATTCTGCTTACTAATAGTAAAATACACTAAAACAAAGGCCCAAAATTTCTCAAATATTATTCTGCAACAGAAAGTCAAAAAGTCTGCAGGTATAAAAAGAAAAACAAACAAACGGGGTATTATGACTAAAAACTCTTGAAGCCAGATTAATTTCAAAATGATAATTGGCCCAAAAAAGAATCTCAGGTTCCACTGCTTATTTCAATAAATACTGATGCCGTTGTTGTCCTTTTGAACGTATATTACAGTATTTAATACTACTTTCAACTACTTTCAGTTTACCTTGCAAAACCGCCTCACGACTTGTCTTCTGTGGGTGTCCAGGCTCTTTCCTGGGTGTCTCTGGTTGAAGCAACGTCCCGAAAGTAGTTTACTAAGGATTTTAGTCTTTTGGCTGATGCACAGGCGTTTTAAGATCATTTACGACAAAAATCGCTCCTTCCTGATCACACTTTTTGCACGAAGTCGGCCATTTTGAAATTGGAACAGCCCATTCTTTGTAAGGGGGATCGCTACTCTTTTCATAACATAACATATGGGACCACTTCGCACAATATAACGTTACATGGAAAATTCGTACAGTAAAAATTGATGTTTTCTGTACGATTTGTTTATATAATTAGCTCTTTAATACAGTATTAAATCAAGCTGTGATCAGATGTATCCAAAATCGCCTACCGATGCCTTTGGGACTGTATTCCAGTTCCAGACCATTCCAATAGGTGGCGCTGTGAGACCATGCACCTGCTTACATGCACCTAGCTGCAACTTGAATCATAAGCTATATCAATTGAATGCTTATGGGATCACTGTAAATTGCAAACAGAAAATATTAAACAGACGAAAGTCGATTAACTTAAATGTAAGATAACTAAAAGAGGTCATCATTACCATGATGTTGGGCATCAAGGAGAAGAAGAAGGAAATTTGCATATCAAGGTGCAGCATATTGCCTTTTTCACAACAAAATATGCCAGGAAAATTTTCAAAAGTCATTAATCTTATACAAAGCAAACAAAATATTAACCAGAGGTAAGAACTACTGTTGTTTAGCACCAGAAGAAGCAGAGAGACAGCTCTTCCAAATATTAAATACATCCTGCATGTAATCTGTGGGACTGGGGCTTCTTGGACTTTATTACATTTGGATATTGATATGATTCCACATTTCTTGGAGAGCATATTTGATCGAGTACGAATTCCCCGTTTCCCCCAGACAGATTTACTTCTACGTAGGCGCAACCAAGTTCCTTGTTGTTTGGGTTTTCTCAACTGGTCCAAGCGTTACCTTAGAGATACTTTTATTTTGGAATCTCACCATCTTTAACACTTTACCAAGACTCCCCAAAATTTCTCAATGTTTCTCCGCAAATAAACACATTGAATAGAGAATTATGTATTGAAATGGTTTCAATTTTAGCTGGAAATTGGGCTGTAATACAAAAATTGGAAAATTAAGCTCTACCAAATCTTCGACGGAACAAGAATGATCTTTTCAAAGAATGAGCAATCCAGCTCTTCTGTGACGTCATGTTATTCAGACGGACACGTGGCTTAACGAAGGGAAAGTCTATGGCGTCCCCCGGCCCGTCTCTATTGTTTCTATTTCAGCAGAATTCAGCTTGGCAAGGATTAATTCAAGTACACAGGTCTCCCCCAACATCTGCTTGACGATTAGATTTTGGTTGTTCCAAAAAAACTTGCAAGACAATCTTCTTCGAAACGTCACTAGTCTCCCTAGAATTTGAATATGCAATGGAAACTCACATGTACCGACGATAAGTCGTTACTATATACAGACTTCAGTCAGTCTGAGCGAGCGAGAAGAGAGAGGCACACCTCCGCAGATGACACTGTAAAACGGACAGGTTCTGAACGAATCAGGTTGACGTTGTCCAAGCAACACCATACGGACAAAAGCTAAGTCATCATTGATTATATATTTATTTCCAAAAAATTGTGGCTCGGAAAGCAGGAAAAAGTCATTTCACCTGGCTTCTTCAATGCACTAAATTGTACGCTTTCTAGGGGTCTTTTTGTTTCACCAAGTATCTAGTATCACAATTTGACCAAGTTAGCACGTAAGGCTGAAGCCAAAAGAGATGGGAGTCATCAATCTGCTTCAAGTGTTTATAATGATTATCATTCTTTTCTCGCGAGTTGCAAACAATACGGTAGAGACCTCGCCGAATGTTTGTTCTCATTCAAACATAACGGTACCAAACCCTGTACCACACGTGATTTTAAAAGTTGACTGTAAATTCTGTCGGTTGACGGCCTTTCCTGATGACATTCCCTCCGAGACGTTTCGATTGATCCTAAGAGGCAACAAGCTGGTCAGTGTCACTTATGTTCCACCGCTGACGAATCTACAAACACTGGACCTCAAGTACAATCGCATTGAATTCGTTTCTTGGTCGTCACTCTGCAACCTGACTAAATTGGCATTCCTCTATTTGAGCCATAACAGGATTACAAGTGTGAAATTTGAACCCTGTTTGAAAAATCTTCAAGATGTAGATCTGTCGAACAATAAAATTGAGACGGTGACAGATAGAGACTTGGGGTATCCAAACACTGCGGCAAAATTTTCCCTGGGAAAGAATCCTTTTCATTGTGACTGTAAGTTGTTGTGGTTTATCAATAAGGTAAAATCATTGACACCAAGAGGCCCATCCAGAACACGTATCAAATCATTATTACGTGACACCTGCTCGGCTTCTCAGGGTTACACCTGTAACTCACCGGCCGCATTACGGAAATCAAACCTTTCGGAACTTTCTATTGACCAGTTAGGGTGTGCGTCATCTAACCTTAGTTCACCAACAACCTACACGTATCCGTCAGTAAGTGAGCATACAAATATGGGCAGCAGTAGGTCGTATGGCGTCCAAACGAGTGTGCATGTACCGGCTGGTATGCGTACAAGCCAGGAAAATGGTCATCTTCACATAACCGTAACTGGACAGACGTTTTTCCGAGAAAACACTACTTTAGAAGGCAAGACAACATCTCTTGATGCTCAAACAAGTGTGCATGTACCGGCTGGTACAAGTCAGGAATATGATCATCTACACTTGACCACAACCGGACAAAGTTTTCTCCGAAACAACACTACTGTAGAAGGCAAGACAACATCTAATGAAAGGGTGTCAATCAGCAATGTAATGGGGAAGGGTAACGAAGGGCCAATGATTGAAACTATTCACATCATCATCATAGTGGCAGCAAGCCTTTTTGGACTGGTTTTCGCCGCCTGTCTGATCCTAAAGCTGATAAAATCTCGGCAGTTGCAGAACCTCCATAACAGGACAGTTAATGTTCTACAGGATCCGAGCACTGTGCCATTTCAAAACCCTGTCTACGCGTATGCCAGTAACAACACCTCCCAAAATGGACCAGTACCTATGCAACTGTCGCAGCTGGCTCCACCCATACAAAGCACATCTTACAACAGCACAGCCACTGTCCAGGATGGACTAACACGTTCTTAGATTCCGCCCCTCCAGAACAATCCTACCACAGCAAAGCACAGACACTGTCCAGGACGGAATAACACCTTCTACTGTCGCTGGCCCCACTCATACAAAACACATCTTACAACAGCACAGCCACTGTCCAGTATGGACTAACACGTTCTTAGATTCCGCCCCTCCAAAACAATTCTACCACACTACAGCAAAAGCACAGCCACCATCTAAGACGGACTAGCATCTTCTACGTATACCCAACTGTCGCAGTTGGCTCCACCCATACGAAACACATGTTACGACAGCACAGCCACTGTCCAGGTTGGACTAACACGTTCTTAAATTCCGCCCCTCCAGAACAATCCTACCACAGCAAAAGCACAGACACTATCCAGGACAGACTAACACATTCTACCCAAATGTCACAGCTGGCTCCACCCATAAAAAACACATCTTACAACAGCACAGACACCATCCAGGAAAGACTAGAACCTTCTAAGATGTAGCAGCTAATTCCACCCATCATTAACACAATCTTTCCATAGCAACAACCTAGCCACTGTCCAGCCACCTTTTTCTACCCAACTGCTAAAAACTCGTATTTCCCCAGAACTATCGTGGACTGGAACTCGCTGCCACCAAGCACAGTTGGGGCATCATCACTAGAAAGCTTTAAACAACTCCTGCAGTTAAATGTGCAAAGATTGAGTGTAACAATCCGTTCGGTGTGATATAGCTAGCTGCCGCCGCGCCGCGTGCCTGCGAAGCTGGTGTGTTACGCCGAAGGGCGGTTATACCGGCTATACCGATACAGATACAGAACTGTCGCAGCTGGCTCTATTCATACGAAACACATGTTACAACAGCACAGACACTGTCCAGGACAGACTAACACATTCTACCCAAATGTCGCAGTTGGCTCCACCCATACAAAACATATCTTACAACAGCACAGCGACTGTCCAGGACGGACTATTTACATCTTCTTAAATGAAGCAACCGACTTCACCCACCCAAAACACATCTTACCATGATAGCAACAACCCAGCCACTGTTCAGGATGGACTATTACATCTTTTCAAATACTGCAGCCCATCCCAACCATACAAAACGTATCGCCCTACAGCAACAAACCTTTTAAACAAAATTTATTCTAGATTCTATTAGCAGTCATTGTGATCATAAATGTGGAAGTTTGCTATGTCAAAGTTGTCTGAAAAAGTCCGAGCATTCACCCAGTTCTGTAACTGATGTAAGTCATAATGACAGGTGTGTGTATATGTGGAAAATTACTAAGAAGCAATTTGCTATATATTATATTAACATGTCACTTGCAGGTGTTTTATCAAGTGTTCACCAAACATATTCTAGTTGGCACAAATGGTGTTTTATGGGGGCTAGTCGTGAAGAGGTAGTCAACTAGATAAGTTTAGGGAACCCTTTATAAAATGCATGTGCCATGTCAATAGCAAATTGCTTCTTCGTATTTTTCCAGTTATTCTAGTTGATAGATGCAAAAATTGTGTTTTTATGGGAGTCGTGAAGAGGTAGTCTAGCATGATCTTCAGTACACCAGGTATTCATCAAATTTATTTTTGGTGACAGGCGAAGGATAAGGCAACAAAGGCTTTACTTTCTACATAAATGCACACGACTAATCTAATATGTGCAGATAGTTTTATAGAAATACACCCTTTGATCCTTTGCTATCTGCATGATTAATCCCATTCATAGTATGTCCATTTCATTGATGAATATTTTGTGCAACAGTTAGAATTAGGCATAGCAAAAACCATAAGACATCACGTGCGTGTGATTGTGTTTGTTCGTTTGTGCTTTTTTGTGAAAGTGAATTGGTCTTTCACATAGCATATTTCACTACGTGATCTTTTTTCCTTCGCCAAGAAGGTTGTTTTCAGTAGCGTTTGTCCGTCTGTCTGCTTGTCTGTCTGTCTATGAACAGCATAACTCAAGAAGCTTAGTATGCATTGTCATGAAACTTGGTAGGTGGGTAGGTCTTGATGAGACCTAGAAATGATTAGGGCACCCTGGCGGCTTTTGTTGGTACTGCAGCAGAATTTCCGGTTTTGATATCTCGCGATCTGGACATGCTAGGGTCACGAATTTTGGTTGGTAGATAGCTCTTGGGGTAGGGAAGAAGTGACATGAGTTTGGGCCCCCTAGCATCTTGTTCTGGAACTGCAGGAGCATTTGTTGAAAATTTTTCGAAGGATGATAACTCAAGAACCTGACAACGGATTGTCGTGATTTTTGGTATGAGGTAGCTGAAGTGAGGCTTGACATAATCAGATGACATTTATGCAAATCAGGAACTTATTTGCATAATTAATGAGGAAATTCTATAGATCTGCTTTGTTCAATAATAGGACTATGAAACACTTGTGACATGTAATTGAGAACAAACAACATCTGAGGATATAGATGATGTAAATGAAGACCTAATTTGCATAATTAATGGAAATTTTTATAATTTATAGTTGTAACTGCTGGGAATTTCATACTTGCCACACTTGGGAATTAAGTGAAGGCGAACATCAATAAACATAATTTATTCAAATCATGACCTCATTTGCATAATTTATGAGGAAGTGCTATAATAGCTTTTTTGTTAAGATAAGACTGTCATTGGGTGGAGAATATGATCAACTGGTATAATCCATAATTCGTCAGCCGCAAGGGTTTACATCATTTGGCGAAGGTATGAGATCGAGGAACTCTTGTTTTTAAATTTTATTTGTGGTCCTCTTAACTTAAAGAATGGTTTTAGTAAAATACACTCAGCTACACACGTTTTCCAAGTATCCCCGACATTAATAAAACGCTCAACTATTACAGAAAACTGTACAATAAAAAAGAAAGCTGTATAATAATTCCTCATTACACACACATTATGTAATTTCTAATCATTATTATTATTACAAGTATTTTCTGTCTTTCGTAATTGATAATATGAAGCACTTGCGAGATAAACATGTATTCTAAAAAAGATATATTAATCCTACAACATGCTAATACAACCTTCAATGAGACATTTTACTGAAGTGCTATGCATAGTACATTATGGGTTTCACGCAGGTTAATCAATATATGAATCATGTAATGGTTATCCGCAGTAAAATATGTAGTAAGGGAGAAGAAATACAACTAACTCTCTGTCTCAAGCTTGATGTAAAATACTGTCATCGACGTCAGAATGTTGACTTACCAATATGTATATACATGAGCATAATAGCCTGAAACAAACGCTTATCACTCTACATTGTACTTCTTTTGTACGCGGCGCGCCGCCAACTTCTGTCGCAGTTTGCTCTCAAACATGCGTCTTGATCTTGCTTGTCGTTTTTCTAACCGTTCCTCATCAGCTGCGTGTTGCTGCATCAGGTCCTGTGCCGTCTCCACGATGGTCTGTTCCTTCCCACCGCGCTCTTTCCTTCTTCTCTCTGCTAGTTTTCTTTGGAGGATCGCCTCTGCACGCCGCCTGCTCTCGCTTTGTAATTCCTGCAGCCTGGCAGCATCGTCCTCATGAGCTTTGAGGAGACATTGGGCCTGTTCTTGATCACCAGATACGGCTGGACTAGTCAGTAATGTAGATTCCTCCTGAATCATCTGACATGTGTCAGAAGACAGCGTAGCAGAGAGATGTCGTGGTGTGACAGGCGAGGTTGACACCCTGAATCCGGTCTTAATCTTTGGCCACAGACACTTTGTGACATCTAAAGTGTCATCTAAAGAGTCCTCTATCTTTCGCAAGTTTGCATTCAGCTCGGAGAGCTTGTCTTCATCTGCATAAAAAGAGTAATGTGTGAAAATGAATTACTTTCATTAAAATACGCAGGTACAAAAACAAAGTTATTAATCGTTTATTCATTTAGTGACAGGAACTTTTGAATCCTAATTCCGGAATGATTTCTTTACGTTCTTAAAGATTTCAATGAATTTCTTTTACCTGTTTTTGTTATATCAGTCGTTGGGGGAGAGTGAATCCCTAACATTTCCTTGAAGCTTGTCCAGATGTAGTCTACCAGATCCTGGTCATAGTCGTCATCAATGGAGTCACCAGAAGCGATGGCATCACAGATGATGGTCACGAGGAAGTTGACGAGAATTATGAAGATACAAATCATGAAGAAAGTGAAGTAGACCGGGCCGACATATCGGTTTGCCTCCAATATCTCCTGAGCAACAAACCTGAAAAATATTGAGATCAATTTATGTATCGCTTACATTTAGTTTAGCCCTTAAACAAAAAAAACATGTATTTGCTACCTGTGTATGGTATAAATCGACATGTTAAAAAAAGACCAAGTAAAAATATTGGTCTTTATAGGAAAATACAAAACGTTGGTCTTTATAAGAAAGTAGAATACTTGTTAATAAACTCGTTTTACGTGCAACATGTTTTTCGAATGTTTATTGTTAATTTGAATTTATGGTTTGCACGATGGAACATTATCGTGAGAAAATGGTTAAACATATATGTGATATGACTGGTACGTCCAGTGAGGCATTTGTCATGTTAACGTAGGAGACTGAGTTATTAGTAGACAACACAGAAATTTGGTAAATACAAACCTGCCCAACAACATCTCAAACAAGGCGAAATTTGTGTGTATGGCGTTGCTGAAGGCCTTCAAGTGTGTGCCAAATACAATCATTCCTGTGGGGGAAATAGAACCTGTTACTAGCCAGGTAACAGTGGAATATGACACGAGAAATAGCATGTATTCTACATAATTACACACAAATACATACTATGCTTTCAGCGTACCGATAGACACATAGAAAGTACTCATAAATTGATATAAATTGAATGGAAAATAATACCTGACGAGCTGAAGGCCATGAAAGCTATGGCGCTCACAACTGAAAACCCGATCAGGTCGTTCTTCATGGCACCGGGCAGAGCAAGGAAATGAGCGATGGTCTTGTTAAACTTGACCATGCGGAGTAGTGCCAATGTGTCAACAAACACCACAGCGGCAAGCACGTACTTGAAGGCATCATCCCACCAAAACGTTGACTCAAAGTCGACAAACTTTTCTATTCCAAGTTCACCTTAACAGAATTGAGAGGGGTTAGACTCAGAAGGTTATAGCATAGCGATTCTCTATAGTTTGACGTGTTGGCTGAAAAATCGTGAGATCAGTTCTTAAGTTAGAGTTAACCTAGAGTTCTGAAACACCCGTTTACCAACCTGTCGCCTCCACTATCCTGTCCAGAGTTGCAGATGCGAAGTGGTGCCTTATTCCAAAGATACAGATGGCGGCTGCAGATCCAAGTAAGCTCAAAGACGCCATCAGATTCCAGATGGAACCAAAATACTTGATCCCTTCATTCTTTATAGCTATCCCATCATTGATGAGGCGGACCAGAAACAACATTATGAAGAGAATGTGGGCAGTCATTACGCCATAATCAGATACGTTTTCATACTGGAAAAGCCTGTGTATTCCTACAGCTGTAGATGTTGAAAAATGACCGATACTCTCCCAAATTACGGTCAGTTTCAATGTGCTGAATAGTTTACGAGAGGGATAGTAGAAGGACAGTTCCAGATCAAGACGCTTTGTATATTTGTCGATCCAGTGGTTATGCTGAAGAGCAGTCATGGTGGATGTAGCTTCATTCAGAGTAGTGGGAAGCTCCATGGGGCATTCTGATATACAGTCTGGATAGACCGTAACCATGCTTGTGACATTGAACTCCCAATGTGCATGTGAAACATTTCCGGTAGCAAGCACCCAACCATTGGTGGAATCGTCTAGTTCCACTGTATCTGCACAAGAATTAAAATATGATTTTAACGCGATGCATTCCTGTAGTGATAAACTATTGTCTTTGAGTGTACGCTGTTTATACGGGCTTCGTCACTGATTGAAAAAGGAAGGAAAATCAATGTTTTAAACAAAGGATTTACGACTATGTGAGTTTACCCTCTATGTAATTTTAATTACATCGATGGCTATTTCGTATACGAAATAACCGGCGATAGATAAAAAGATGGTAGATAAATTATACATTATGGTCATAGGATCTAACGTTATTCCTCATGACTAGTATTTTGTAAACTAATCAGGTATAATAATAATAACAAGCTAACATTCCAATTAAAACAGAGAACACTAATAAATAGTAGTACTGCCCACCTGGTGCCGCCCTGATTTGAGTAAGTCGTGGCGGGCCGATTCTGAAGGCCTCGGTATAAAGTGGAAACTGCCGGTCTAGATACTTCATCTTCCACCCGTTATACCAGAAGGAGGGGTATAACACAGGCAACATGACTCCCTCAGTCCAGCTCCAGAAGTCTTCAGGAGTCGTGATCTATGGCAGAACAACAGCTACGTTCAGATAGAATAGTTTACAAGCGAGCAATTGTTGACCAGACAATGAAAAGTGAATACCTACCTGCCTAAGTGCTCAGGCCAGGATCAGGCCCCTTGCTCCCCTCCACCTCCATCCCACTCTGTCCAAGGCCAAGTCTCAGGTTCCCTTAAGGTAAGCCCTGTGTCTTTTTGTATCTGGTCTTTTCACCTCTCAGGTAGTCTTCCCCGGGGTCTGTTTTTTTTTAGAAACGCCGGGTGGTATGCCTTACGAACTAAGGTGTTTAAGACAAGGACTAACTAAGACAAGGAAAATGAATTACTTATATTATGACAGCATAAGGCTTTTGCAAGCCTAGTACTTTTCAGTAGCTACCTACCGAGTCGAAGTCCTCTGTGAGCCTGCTGGACAGCGTCTGCGATGCGTGGTAAGCAGACGGGTCTTTATCCTGCTGGCTAATGAAGAACAGAACAGCGACAAACAGGAACAGGACGCTGGCGTTCTGCAGGAGCACGAAAAACTTTTGCCGCTGCTGGTTTTTCCTTTTCATCTTTTGCACGGAGGTAGCTTCAGGTGGGTAAACTTTCTCTGGTGCTGAAAAGATATACATACACATAAACGTATATACACGGCTTAAAATCTTACAATATCATTAAGATATACATTCACTTACAAATATCTACCCTCTTTTGACCAAAAACAAACATTTTTAAACGTCATACAGAAGAATACAATTCATACATGTAATATGTACCTATCTACTAAGGTATACCTATCAATAAGGTAATTGTATATAGAAAGGAGACAACGCAATTTGTTTATTCCAAAGTTTTATTACCCTTACCAACAATAATTGGAAGATATTTTGTTCTCTAATTGTATGTAGTAATCTTGAGGATATGGAGGTACCTTTGTGGCCCAAAAGGTGCACATGTAGTTCTTCCTCCCTGATATCATACGTCCTCTGCTTGTTGGAAGGTGTTGGGTTACAGATTAACGCAGCTATGAGCGCCAGGATAAATATCTGTGGAGAGAACAATAGCAAGAGTTCTTTACCATATGACTATACTGGACAATTTGTACTTTTTGTTATTATCATTATTTTATTTATTGATGTTATTGGTTAGTTACTGTTTTTTGCTTTATTATCATTGCCATTATCTTTATTGTATCCCAATTTCATTGTTTGTAGGTGACTGTTGTGGTTTGTTGTGTAAAACAGGGCCCATATTGAAAAGAAGTGCAATAATTTAATGGGAATAAATAAATTTACTTGCTGGGACATAAAGACCGAATATCCGGTAATAAAGCAATATCAAACCGCGCAGTGTTAACTGTATGCATAATAATAATTCTTTAAGAAAATGAGTGTTTTCAATGGCAAATGTGCAGCTCTCTGATCATTGGCATTTTTTGTGTGCCTCATCAGTGTTTGGACACCGTTGATGAGCACCCTTTATACTAAGGATAAGCCATCGTACAGTAGGAAAAATCGTTTGAAAGTGCATTTCCAAAATGACCATTATAGAGAATATTACACAGAAATATTACCTGGCCAGTCTCTGCAACAACACTTGATAAACAAAACGAGAGGAAGAATGACTTCAGCCATGCTTCGCTCTTCTCCTTGCCCCAGTCCAAACCATACATGATGACAAAGAAAGACGAGACGATGGACACAGACACCACTATCAACCACGCCACATACTTCGTCCAGCGGGACAAGCGTTTTCCAGCTTTTCATGGTAAGAGAGAAAAGAGCACAATGAATTTAACTACATCTGATGATTAACCATACATGAAAGCACCCCCCCCCCTCCAAAAAGGATGGAAATGAACAACATACACTGATTCGTACCCCCTATTCCAGGAGCTGTAACTGGAGCTGGTATCTCCTTTCGGAACAGCAGAAGCGGCCCCACGGTAACAGGTATTACCATCACAGTAGTCACCAAGCTGACCCACAGTTCCTAGGTAAAGTCAGAGAAATAAACAAATAAATCATTAAAACAGGACTGTAATTTTGGCTTTATCTTTTAAAGTTTAAGTTGAAAGACTAGTAACACTTTAACTAACTTTATTAGAATAGTGCCTCACCTGTAACGTGAACTGAATAAATCCCAAGTTATACACGATGTCTCTGGTGGGATCATCGTTGTCATCCCTGAACCACATGGCGCTGGCCACCATCATACTGTTTACAATAGCCCAGCAACAGGAAAGGCGTTCTGCCTTGGAGAAGTCAGACCCTACGATACAGATAAAAACAACAACACGAACTATTTGACATTTTACCATTGCCATGTACGTACATGGACCATGTTTTAATATCCATCATCGTTATCCTTCTTCGTGGATGTTTCAACAAACGCTCCTGTAGTTCCAGAACAAGCTGCTAGGGGGCCCAAATTTATGTCAAAGTGCTTCTTCCTTACCCCAAGAACTATCTACCAATCAAAATTCGTGACTCTAGCAAGATATCAAAACCGGAAGCTCTGCTGCAGAACCAATAAAAGCCCCCAGGGGGCCCAAAATCTACTCATTTTTAGGTCTTATCAAGACCTACCCACCTACCAAGTTTCATGACATGCATATTAAGCTTCTTGAGTTATGCTGTTCACAGACAAACAGAAATACAGACAGACTAACAGACAAACGGACAAAAGCTACTGAAAACATAACGCTACTGAAAACGTAACCTTCAAAAGCCATTCATTATATAATATTTATAAAAATGGACACAAGTAATGTTAAGTGGCACCCGGGCCCAATACCTTCAGGCGACAGAACAGGAGATGTCCACATGTGCTGGTCGTAGAACATCGCGTTGGTGTTCTCCCGAAACAGTGACCCGAAGGATCGCAGTTGTTCCTGAGTCGCCGCGTGTAGAACCTTTTGAACCCGGTAGTCTCCTCTCGCGTCAGACAACCAGTCATAACAAACGAACTGGTATCTGAAAAAATAATTAAATATTGTGGATGAATCAGTAAATGCTCATACGTCCAGGCGATTCAACTGAATAATTACAACCAACATTGACATGGAAATATAGGTGGTGCCAGTTGTATGCACCTACAAAATGACTAAAATTGGTCTAAGATAAAATTATCCTAACTAAATCTGCGCTCCTAGCGGTGTAATACCGGGCCGGCCGCTAGGAGCGCAGCTTTAGTCAGGCTACGGATTGGCGGATTACTAAGAATTTGGAAGTCACCGGGTGCAAATCTTGCAACATGTGTCAGATACGTTCGTTTTTCACATGATTTTTATACTAAAGAACGACTATAACTGCTGTCCAGTCATTTTAAAGTATAAGTAGAAGTGCAATTGATGGTTATGAATCTAAAGGGTGAAATAATGATTGCATGTGTCTTACACTGTGTCCGTCTGCATGTCCTTTACAATTATGTCTCTTAAGAACCAGGACGCGGCGTCACCACCACCAGTGTTGTCGTGCCAGATATGTAGTATTTCCAAACGGCCCAGTGGGTTCTTCATGGGCATAATGAAGTCATAGGATCCTCCACGCACCAATGACTGCAAAGAAATGTTGGGAAACTATTTACCTAGCAGGAATAACTGTTTTAGCGGTAATTCATTATCTCTGTCTAACGCCAACCGAAACAAAGTCCTGACAAAAGAAGCAAAACGTTTATCAAACTTAAAATAAAATCTTACCGAAGGAAATAAGAAGATGACTGTTATGAGGGTACCGACGATCTAGACATACCGTTTAGACAGATATATCGAAATGTAAAAAAAAAACGGATACTGTATGGTACTCACTTCTCCAGTAGAATTCAACGTTTTGGCCGCGGTTTTGCACCTTGAGCCGAATATTTGGAACCCAACACGTGACGATGTGCCGGAACCAAACATAGAGCCCGTATTGACGGTGATCTGGTACAGATATGGGGCTGGCATCCTGTCTGGTGGCAGGATGGACAATTGTGGCAACTTCCTCTTGGGAGCTGCTGAGTTCCGACTCATCATTTCCTGGTGCAGTAATACAGAAGTAGCAATAAACCAGCGAATATTTTATTATGTTTACAAATATAACATAATTTACTCCCCCTTTGCACAATGTCAATATTTTATTGTAAATGTAATTCTGGAGAGCAAATACATAAAACCAGGGCATGCCGTTCTAACACAATGTCAAAGAAGTGAAACTCATTCACCTCCGAATCCAAACGTAACATATCTTAGCGTCACCCAAAACAATACTTCCAAACCACAGCAAAAAAAAAAACTAAAGTAGTTTGTATGATACGTCGATTAAGGTTAGACATCCAGGTAATACGATACGTCAAAAAGCAGTTACTCAAGCAACTTGATATGATTTTGAAAACGGTCAGACGTTTCAGCTATTATCCACTAGCTTTCGTCAGTGACTGAGAGACCAGAAGAGAAATGCAGGTTTATAAGCACAAACTATTGATTGTATGATAATTACTAGGGAAATACGCTACTCACTCGAAGACGCTGAAAATTCACATTCAGAATGATCATCAACAAGATATAGAGAGCCCACTCCCCGATAACCGCGTAAAACACAATGTTGTTTTCCGTCAGGATGTTTGGATTTCCAAAGACTTTGTCGAAGTCAATAGAATTTGGAGGAAAGTGTACGCTGGCACCAATGACTGCCTTCAGCCTGGGGAAGCTGCAATTGCATCTGATGGCGCTATTGGAAAGATCCAAGTGGACCTGAAACAAAATAAACATAAACATAGTCAAGTCAATATGCTGTAAATTGTCACTAGAATACTCTGAGCAAAAATATATTTTTTCACACAAATTTACACCTATTTGCCATGCTTGGTAATTAGTAATGATTGGTAATAACATAGACTAGAATTTTTTTTAAATCTCATTTTATTAGAATAAATAACTCACCCCACATTGGGTGTTGCTCCATTTCTCTGACGTATATTCCCAGCTCAAACAACTCACTGTTGATGCCCGCAGTTCGTAATCTCTAGGCGAAGGTGCAGTTTGGAGACCAGGTCCTACAAGTAAACAATTCGGTCTTATTAGAATCTAGGTACCGGTCCACTTCCAACTCAATGTCCTATACATAGCCCAATACCACCAGTACCATCACCAATATGATGATCTACGTCTAGTTGTTTGTTGAATATCCAAATTTTATAATCATAAATATATGATCTATAATTACGCATGGGTGTAATAGGATACCTGCTGTCTGTATCCCCACGTACAGTTTCCCTCGCCGTTGCTCGATGTTAGGTATCCATGTCCGCAGGCTCCTTGTTCCTCTGTGCCAGGCTAGAACAACATCTTCCTCCTTGGCGATGTTCATGTCGTCATACAGCTCCTCTGTCGGCAGTGAGTCGTAACGGAAGAAGACCCTGTAGGCTGCAGCGTGATCCCACCACGACAGCTGCATCACAACCACAACTGTAGCCGCAGCGACGTCGAACGCATACTGCGCCATCGTCATGTTGCCTGTCCGTGCCCCACTAACTGTTAACTGCGTCCCACCAAATCCTCCTTCCTGCAGGGCGCTGCGTTTACGTCTCGGTTGATCTGTTAGTTCTAAAGCTATAGGTGTCTCCAGGTCCACCTGCATACTGCAGTTGTCAATGTGTCGATCTCCCAACGAAATTATGATGATGGGTGTGGTGACATTTTGTCCAATTGTGGATGTATTCCAGGAAAACAGGTTTCTCTCCATTATTATCATCTGTTACGGAATATGAGCAATATTACTAAATAGTTTTAATTTTTCACGCTATAATTTTTCGACTTTGCACAAACTCTTTTAACAAGCATGATTAATAAATGTTGTGTTGAGGTAAATATTTTTAGTTCTAATTTTCATGTTTGTTTTCGGACGTAATGTTTTCCAGATAAACACAAAGCAAACGACGTACATATTTAACGTGTATACTGTAGAAAGGAGAAAAAAATGAAAAGATTTTACTAACCGTAGCATCTGTACTGTCATTTACTGAACAGTCTGTGACATAAGCTGAGATGTTGACTTCACCCTCACGGAGTACCACGTTGTTACTAGTGAATCTTGACACCAATTCTATGACATTGTCAGCTTTAAATGCGCTATAGTAGCTCTTCCCATTCGGCAAAATTGCCAGCAAAGCGTCTCCCACCCTGTCAATGGATTCCGTCAAAGACAAAGCAGCTTTGCGAAGCTGCAAATTAAAATACAATACATATAATTATCATCATTTATCATCATATATTACCTCAGTTTATCGAAAATGGTTTGACATCTATTTTCAAGGTAAGGTTTTAGGGAAACGAGGAGTAATTTTACAAAAACAAGAAAGAACATATGCTAAAATTGATAGCACAATAAATACAAAGCCACATCTCAGTCATCCAATTGCAAAAAAAAGCTTGTAAGAAAATCCTTCTAAGAATATCCGTGTTCCAATAATTATGGTAGAAGAATACTTTACTGAGCAGCAACGAAATGAATAAATGAGTTTTGTTACCAACCTGCTGCTGAAATTTCGATTGATTGTCTTTTATGTTCTTTAGCTGCCGTTTAGGAGAAACGTCTGGTGAGTTGACATCGATGACGTCCATTTTGAAAAGATCCACAGAAGTGTCAAAAATGGTCGCATTTCCGACAGGCAGCATTTGTACCAGTCGGGAAACCGTGTGTACTACAACTGTAGCAGTTGAAGAACATATTTTTGTGGATAATAGAGAAGTAGTATTCACATGAATTGATCTTGTACCATGAAAAGTATAATGTATATATACGCCATATATAAATGGCACATAATGACTTTGACTTTATTGGGATCCACATTTAGCTTACAACAAATGTAGCTATTCTTCCTGTGGTCCTTCAAGACACACATGACACACATGACATATTTACAAAACATAAATACATGGCAATTACAACATATTAAAACAGATTAAAATAAAGCTATATACATGTACATCATCACAACTTCATATCATTCCAGGCACTGGACATTCTATACAAAAATCTTCTTTTCTGTGCATTTGTTCGAGGTTTAGGAAGGCGGATGGTCTGTGAGTCTGATGTTCTAGTATGGTAACCATGTGACTGCATAGTGATGTTCTTATACAATGATATGGGTTGTTTTTCTTTCATTATCCTACGGAAAGTTCTCAGTCATAATGTTCATAATGTGTAAAAATAAAGAAATACAAGCATTGCATTGTGTCTCAATGTAAAAATACATTATGTATCATTCATGAATGTCAATGAATGTAACTTTAGTTGCCTTACCATCATTCATCTTCTCCATCGTTGATATTTTTGTCCCCTGTGACGCTCTTATAAGTTCAGAAGATTTGCTGTACAGTTCTATAGCTGCTTCCTGCGGGGAATGACATAAAGATTATGAGCGTGTTTATTAATCATATCAGACACACTGTTGATAGCAGCTATATAAACATATGAGAAACGAAAGTTCATCTGTGTTGGTAGTTACATGTAAAGTTAAAACTTTTTGGTCCAACACAAAAAAATCTCTCACCTAGAGCTTTCGACCAGTCACTCTGGTCTTCCTCAGTAGACTGACCCAACCCAAAGAAGCCACGTGACAAGCTTCACTGGGTCAGTCTACTGAGGAAGACTAGAATGACTGGTCGAAAGCTCTAGGTGATTTTTTTGTGTTGGGCCAAAAGTTTTAACTTTAAACATATGAGAAATGAATCTAAAATCTTGTCTTACCAGTTCAATAAGAAAGTCAGTTGACGACACTGGGAATGTGTCCATTCTGAACAGATCATGGATTTCTCTTATGATGCTGAAGGTATTTTCCGAAGATGTTCCTTCTCGCAAGGACTGAGCCACTTGATATTCCAGACGTTTAATCTATATAAAAAGAAAAGCAAGAAAATGATGTTATCAACGTTGTTTCCTCTGCAAAGGGCAGTAAGACGATATTGCGACATACCTTGAATTATGAATAAAATAGCAGATAATAGTAACAAAAATTAAATATTTTGTAACGTATTCCCATCTTACCCTTTGGAAGAGACTAAGTGCCGTTGTTATAGTATGGCGCACCCCGCTGCCATAGCCGTTAACTGAAAAAAATTAAACATTCGACTCATTATGATAGTTTGTGACGAATGGCAACATTGGAATTAAACAGGAAACAGGGAGGGAGAGAGAGAGAGAAAGAGAGGGCGAGAGAGAGAGTATAACAAGAGGTTATGCTTAAAAGTGAATCCCAGATTTATTATCATGCAACCAACAGAATGATTCTGATAGATAATTCATAGTAATATCGAATGTCATGAAATAAGTACATAATTTTTCTTTGCTGTAAACGTACCTGGTAATGTCATATGTCTGGTCGATACATCATTTCGGAAATGGTCATCTGTAAAATGCCAACATCGTATGGAATGTAGGAATTAAGTTATTGACAATACAATATTGTCGCTTTTAGTTCACAATTTATCATTTAAAAAATTTGTGATTTTCCACACCTGAGTTCCAAAGGTAACAAAATAGTACGTTGCTAAATTGGTGCAAATGGATTAAAGAGAAGTGATATTGTTTCTAGACTTACCTGTTCCAGGAGACATCGTTGTCGTTTCGAGTTCCTCCAACACAAATCGTTTTAAATCTGTTGTAGAATCTGCAATGTAACAAATGAATGAATGAATGAATGAATGGTTTATTCAGACTGATAAACTCTCTCACAGACTATTGGCAGAATTGCAGGTTCCATTACACATATTATCCACACATGTATTTAGCTTTGTTAGATCTTTAGTTAAGTTGTACAAGACCATACAAAAGTCTCTGTACTTTTTTGTTGTGTCAATAAAGAATCTCATATTTAAAAGTATCATTCATTTATGATATAAAACAAACCATTTACCTATTTAAAGGCAATTCTATCACGGCTTAAAATTTCACGTATCCGTTACAGATTATTAGAAAATGATTAATATAATTGATATATAATGCCCACAAGTATATTTCGCAAACAGTAAGACTTTCAGGGCCTAACTCTTTCATCACAGAGGTCACAAAAAACAGCAAGTTACAGATGTTAAGGAACATCTAAGTAAGCCCCCCCCCCCTTCTATCTACAAAACTACAAACTCATTCATGTTTAATCCTTCTCAGACCACGGTTTTCGTTGTACTTAAAAGGGACAGCCAATGTATTTAAAAAATAGACTATTAAGTTTGTTACCTATGCCGGGGGTTGTTGACAGTTGATTAAGCCAGAACGTGTCTGTGGTCCAGAAGCCATGGCTCTCCGTTGTTGTAGGTGGTGTTGTACTTTTCCTTTTCAATATTGAAAAGTCATTGATGGCAACTGTTGGGATGAACAACATCATTTTTCTTGTTGTTTGTCTTATATGGTCAACTTTCGCGTCCGAAAAGTCTCCCATTATCATCATTTGAATGTCAACTTTGATAGCAAATTTAATTCATGAGATGAAAAGCTATTATGATGGTAAGATGGTAATTATCTTTCACTCAAAGATCACAAGGAAGCAGCATTGGCCAAAGAAAAGGGAAAAGCTTTTTATTCTGCACTTGGGCCAGATCAAATTAAGTTTGTGTAGCTAATTACAAAAAGATGATCCTGAAGAAGACATTTTTTCCTAGTTAATTTTTGTTGCACTTATATATTTTTAGTGCAAAAAGTTCTTTGCGTTGTATTGGGACTTACAACGATGTTTTGACATATATAGCATTTGTTAGCAAATAGATACTGTCATTGTTGTCATTTCCATATATGAGCGCTGTGTCTGAGTGAGAGACTTAATAACTATACCTGTGCTACCAAAGGTCTCAATGTTGACACTGCGTCCGTACACGCTGACGGCTACAATCCGGATGGTGTACTTTGTCGTTGGGATGAGATTCGTTACGTTGAAATCAGTTAAAGAAGGGGCTATGCTGTAATGTCAAAACAAGACATTTCCAAACACGGATTGCGAAAGTTATTAGGTAGTGGAGCTGAAACAACTCATGCAAAAGAGGATATTATTTGCATTATCATTAAGACTGATTAGTACATTGTCAGTTTCAAAGATTAACATTGTGTGGTACTCTCTAATTTACTTTGTTTTCTTTCTTTATAATGCGATTCTTCATTTTAAGAATAAAGTTTATTACTCCATTCAGGAATTGACCCCCTCTCTAAAGTCTATTTCCATTGCTAATGCCAAATACTAGTGTATATGAAAGCAGCTGCTGACAAACTATGAACGTGAACTAGTAAAAATAAATAAAAAAGGAATACAAAACGTTTCAATTTACTCACCTAAAGTGCATCTCGACCTGGCTTGAAGGTTCTATTACCTCCAGGTGATAAGAGACAACAGCTGCGACAGGTGGTGTCCATTTCACATACAGCCAGGTGGAGGAAACCTTGTGAACTTTCAGGTCAGATGGTGGATCAGTGCCTTTTCAATAAAAAGAAAAAATGTAGAGTAAGTATACTAGATAAAAGAAAATAATTATCAAAATTCCTACTGATACAGTACGATTCTTTGCTCCCTTAAACATTTCCTGAAACATTTTCCTGATTAAATTACAATAGAGAAGACGTCTTATCATTAGTTGTTCTTGAGGGTCTATGTTGTTTGTTTACCTGTTATGCCCGTTAATGTTATTGTTGTGCTCCGCCCAAAACGACTGACCGCCGTCAAGCTGAACACGTACTGAGTGGCAGGGACCAGATCCTGGATCAGATAGTTATCACTGTTAGCAGGAAGGGTGACAGAAACTGTGGATCGTCGTCTCCTGTGTTGTTCTATGCTGCCGAACGTGAGCTCGTAGCCTATAAGCCTGGCAACTGGCGGGGTCCAAAACAGGGCCAAACTGTCAAAAAGTATGCCGTCCACAAATAGTCGCACTGGAGGGTCGGTCTCTGGAGGTTGAATACCAGAAGCAATTAAAGATCGTGTTCATGACAATTGGTAATAAACTTTACACGAATATGATGTTGCCAGTGTAGCCCATTGAACTTTTCTTTGTATCTGAAAACAGCAAAAAAACTCAACGAAACAGCATACAATAGACTATATACTCGTCTTTTACCTGTTACGAATGTTACTTCAGTTAGTGGTCCCTCGAAGAACGCGCTGACACAGCTTACTGACACCACATACTCTGTAGCAGGAGCTAGAGACGTGAAGGTAGCCGCAGTAGCTGACTGAGGAAGATGCCGTGAAGATGTGACGGACATGGTTTCCTTGTCTGTCAGCCACGCCCTGTAGCCCAGCACCACGGTCTGACCAGGCTGTGACCAATGTACAGTGACCGACTCACGGCTGTCCAGACTAAAGGTCACATTGGTAGGAGGCGGGAGCCCTTCAATTGTAATAAAGAATATAGAAAAATGTTGTGATCTTACTTTAACACAACAATTTACAAGGTACGTGCATTTTTCCTTGCATTGGTTTCTTCATGTTTTTTTCGGCTAAAAGTTTCAGATACACACTATTATAGATAACTAAAATATTCCCGCAAGACATACATACATACTTGAGGGTTTATGTACTCTTGCTTCACTGCTTAACAGTTGGAATTGGAAGTTGTGTTGTCAATGCCATTTTCGATAATCAGCATTCAATCTAAAGCAGAATCTACTCATGGATTATTTAGGGACAAGCTGACGTTTTCTAAAACATAAATTTAATCTTTACTCACCAGTTATACACTCGATACTGACATTCGCGCTATCATTCCATAGCCCAAATGCGAGAACGGAAATGGAGTACTGCACTCCGCTGAACAGGCGAGATATTGTTGCGTTAGTGTCTCCAGAACTCCTCATAGATGTCTTCGGGGAGGGCTGAAAGAATCCTGAAAAAATCGCCAAGTGAACGAAGCAAAACACAAAACGGTGTACGATGATGTGCAGTATATGGATATACTTGAGAATTTATTCCGATTAAAAGCGAAATATAAATGCCATATAATTATACATAACCAGCAGAAAAAAATTGTAAATTAATGAACACTAACCCTGTGCAGGTACGTAAACAATACCGTATCCACTTGTATCACAGACTGGTTCTATCCAGCTGATGGATATTGATGAAGTGGTTACAGTCGAGCACGACAGATGCGAAACCGGGTCGAATCCTGAAGATATCAGTATTTGAATACTTATTGTAACGCGATGTCATCACTATCGTGCAGTATAGTACTATACAGGCCTGCATGTCTGCTGGATTGGAACAGATGTGTGTGTATGTGCAAAATCGCTAACCTGAGTAATACATTATCTAAATACAATTCAAAAGTCCTTTGAAATAAAGAGATCCTTAGAATGCCTTAATTTGCGTGCTTTTAAGAAAACTGGTCCACAATCTATCTGAATGTGCCCTTTCTTAAGTATTTCAAACAAGGCCGTAATGTTCTAACACAATAAAAAGCTTCTTACCATCACATGCAAAACTGTCCACCTGCAGACTGTAGCCAGGTGCACAGTAACAGCTGAAGTTTCCCACAGTATTGGTACAGAACTGCCCACAGCCTCCGTTTGCAGTGTCACATTCATCTATGTCTGTAGAATTAGGAAGATGTGTATAGTTTGACATAGCACGAAATGCTTTTATCTTTAATGGATTCGCATGGTATTAGGAAAAAGGCGTCGTCTTTTTGTTCTATGCTAACGATATTACAGTAATCCTGCTTACCATCACAGGCAAACCCGTCGACATTCAGCTCGTATCCTGTGCGACAGAAGCAGTCATAACTACCGATGGTGTTGTTGCAAACCTGGGAGCAACCGCCATTGGCAGTATTGCATTCGTTTATATCTGTAAGAAGAAGAAAATGATAAATTACATACAGCGTAGTCATATTTATAGTGCCATCTCAAAGCCTGTAGTAAATGAAGCTATAGCAAAATATTACTAAATAGATAAATATTATGTGCATGAACAAAGTTTTGCATGCGTATTTGCGTACTTCTACATCTATATATACACTACTTTAGAGGAAGAACTAGAAAACCCGATTTAACACCTTCCATTTTGCAATTGTTTAACAAGCAATGTGTGCGGAAATCCATTGCACGATAATAATACATAGGTTTACCTACCGTCACAAGAAAAACCGTTGGCATTCAAAACGAAGCCAGTGAGGCAGACACACTGGAAACTTCCTACGGTGTTGGTACAGTTCTGCTCACAGCCTCCATTAGCTGTACCACATTCATTGATATCTGAAGAAAAGCAATTCTATCATTTAAAACTCGTTATTTGCTAAACATTATGCTCTAGCATCAACGGATTTAAGGAAGAATATTTCATAGAAAAAAGATACTAGAATCCCTTACCGTCACAAGAAATCATTGATATCTGGTGATATGAAGAAGGCAATTTCAATACTTAAAAAATCTTAATTTCGTTTCCTAACATTCATGATCAAGTATTGGAAGGAGTCAAAAAAAGATCTTACCGTCACAGGAAAGCCCATTTCCATTTAAGTTGAAGCCGATTCCACACGAACACTGAAAACCGGGGACGGTGTTGGTACAAGTCTGCTCGCAACCACCGTTTGCATTTGAGCATTCATTCAGGTCTGTATAACAGAAACATGGTTATGCATGGATTCATACAGAAACGGCTGAAATTACTGTATGGATTGCTGCGTTGTCAAGCATCTAATAAATGTGTCGTAAAATTCAAACCACTGTCTTTTACAAAGACGTGTGTCTTACTATAAGTTTACTGCTTATGCATTTAGTTATACAAGAAAATACAGAAAGAAAGACACCTACCGTCACACGAAAAGCCATCAGCATTCAAGTTGTAAGCGTCGAGGCAAGAACACTGGAAACTCCCGATGTTGTTCGTGCAAGTTTGTTGACAGCCACCGTTTGCAGAGGAACATTCATTCACGTCTGTAATGTAAAATATATAATAGAAAATGCGGGACGAACGTGCACTGAGAAAATACATTAGTTTACACCATTGTACATTACGTGGATGCACCAGTTTATTTAGAATCCTGAAAAAACTGAAAAATAGCATGAGACTTTGCTGTATGATATGTGAATTAATATGGGCCAGTGTAATAAAAAAAGGCATCCAATAAAAAGTAAAATGAAGGTTGCATATTTTCTGTGTTCTATTTGTTTCCTTTTGGGCAAAAAGATGGTGATTTTAAGAACCTAGTGATTACATTAATGTGCATTAAACTAGACATTGTTATGATGAAGAATTTGTGTTATATGATACAGCTAGTTCTTTCGCCAAAGAGGAACGAATCGTCGATACCTACCATCACATGAGAACCCGTTGACATTCAGGTTGTAGCCAACACCACACGAACATTGGAAACTCGGGATAAGATTGGTACAAGTCTGCTCACATCCACCATTTCCAGCACCACATTCATCCACGTCTGTATTTGTAAAAAAAAACATGTATATGTTCACAGGCTCATTTGCATTCTATGCAGTTCAATTCAAAATAATGTTTAAAGGTACTTCTTTGGCAAATTTCCAATGTGTTCATTGATATTGATATAATATGCTCGAATGTTATAATTTGCGAGCGTGTGAATTTTAATATTTTAATATTTTAATATTTTAATATTTTAATATTTTAATATTTTAATATTTTAATATTTTAATATTGCAAATGCTTAAGTATTGAAAATGACGCTCACCGTCACAAGTAAACCCATCGATGTTTAGGAGGTAGCCAATCAGGCACGAGCACTGAAAACTTCCGATGACATTAGTACATATCTGCTGACAGCCACCGTTTGCAGACAGGCATTCGTTAATGTCTGTTAAAAATACATAAATATTGACAAAAATTAAAAGATAGGCATCTTTATGATCATAAGGATGTATCTATATGTAGGAAGCATACTTTGTCATTTTATTTTATTGACGATTTATAATAAATGGAAAGAAATATACAAATCGCAAAGTGATCAATGTTTTCCAACAGTGTGTCCCAAGAAAAGTAGACACGCACACAGAGCATAGAAAATATTAGAAGGTATTCAGAAATCTAACAATGATTCTTATTGAAAATAATTCTGTAAGCTTGTAAATTACACAGAGGAAACTGCTCTCCGTTAAGTACTAACTACGGGAACAGAAACATAAATTAAAGGCGCACTGAAAACAATATAAAACATGCGTACCATCGCAGAAAAATCCATTGCCGTTCAAAACGTATCCGGTCCCACAGGAACAAAAGAAACTGCCGATGGTGTTGGAACATGTCTGATCACAGCCACCGTTTGCAATGAAACACTCATCTTTATCTGCAAGAACAAAATGTAACATTAACCTTCATGTACAGTTATCATAATATTTGCTTGCTGAAAGTAATATATTTTTTCTCTAGAACTGCAACAGATTTCAACCGCAGGATCTCTAGAAATAATAAACGTTAGATGAAGTTGTAAACATGAAAATGTATGCCATGAATTTTTTAGATCAGACACAATACAGTGATATATTAAGTCAGTACATGAACAATTAAAATGTATTTACAAATTTTATCAATGCAGTGCGGCACATACTAACCATCACAGGAGAAACCATCACTATTTAACTCGTAGCCAATCCCACAGGAGCAGTGGAAGCTTCCGATGAGGTTGATACAGTTTTGTTGACAGCCACCGTTTCCAAAGTTACATTCATTGATGTCTGAAAAAAAGGACAAAATTTTAAAGATTTGTAGCAGTATCAGTTAGCCAATCACCAATTAAACAATGAGTGATGTTGCACATTTTATATGCAAGCAATTTTATGCATGTGCGAATTTAGGACGAACAGATAACCTTACTTACCATCACAAGAAGCACCGTCTGCATTCAAATTGTAGCCAGTTACGCAGGAGCAGTGAAATGTACCGATGGTGTTGGTGCACACATGGTCACAGCCACCATTTGCAGCTGAACATTCATTGATGTCTGCAATGAGGAAAATTGTAATTGAATGTATGATCGAATGAAACATTATCAACGTTCTATGTGCTTGGCAATAATGAGTAGACTTATATTTATATACATACAGAAAATAGCTTATTGCTGGTTTGAACAGTTTAACTTTTAGTACGAACATACTACTGCAAAATTTACAGCGGAAATTTACTTATTGGCAACATGACGATAGAAGACATACAAGGTAAAGTACTGTACTGTACTACAAAATTGTCTATCACGAATGTTACTACAAATTAAACACCACCTAACCGCAAAAAACAAAGAGATGACACTGATACGCACTTGGAATGAAAGCGAAGCGCATTAGAATTTATAGGTTTTAATACCCATCAAATACCCATCAATACGATTGTTTAAAACACCCTACCGCTGCATGAAGGGACGTTGTTGCTCCAAGATTGATCTGCTCGACAGGTGGAACTGGAATCTCCGATCAGATAATATCCTAAGTTACACGTGAAGTGAACCGTGTCCATGTAGAAGTTGGGGCCAGTCGTAACACCATTCATGGGAGACGGCAACACTGGGCACTGCACACCTGATAAAGGTTATAAGAGAAGTAGACTACCATGTTAAAATGCAACATTCGCCTTAGATATCATTGTCTTATGACGTGTATGTGGGTGCTTTCAAGTCCGCAAAACAGTCTTGCAAAATAATTACCATAAATTTGCATACAAATGTCTAGCTGCCTACATGGCACAAGTTAATAGACAGTGTACAATTTTGAAAACAATGATTTCTGAGTGATATTTGGCAGAGCTAAACTTACGTGTGCACGTTGGGGTGGACCCGCTCCACGTACGATCAGCCTGGCAGGTCAAACTGACGATCCCAATAAGGTCATATCCAGAATCACACGAGAACTGCATCACGTCTTGGTAGAAATTAAATCCCGTCATTTCGCCGTTCACAGGAGCTATCAGGGCTGGGCACTCCACGCCTAGTAAAGACATAGTATGATAAATTAAAAAATAAACACAATAGAACAACATCTATACTGACAACAATGGTAAATCTTTAAACAGAAATAATGTTGATAGTATCAGCATATTATGTTTTATTGTCCTTTGTTTTGTGGACCATCCAACTTTATTGCATTTTTGTTCAAATAATTTCTCTTCATCATGTTTTGAATTTCTTGGTTTAGTGTTGGATGGTTCACTTTCTCATCGTTGTCATTCTCCCAACGTTGCGAAGGATAGTTCACTTTCTGTTACTTTTATATGAGAAATAATTCAAAGAATTCTAAAACTATTGATAGTAAGCAAAGATGTTGTCAATCTTACGTGTACAACTTGGGGCTGTCCCATCCCACGTGCGGTCAGCCTGGCAGGTCAGGCTGGAGCTGAGGCCGACAAGCTCGTATCCTGTATCGCACGTGAACAGCACCACGTCTTGGTAGAAATTTCCGCCAGTCATGTCACCATTTACAGGAGCTGTCAATTGTGGGCACTGCACGCCTAGTTAAGCAAGAAATATTTTTAGGTGTTGTGTATGCTAGAATTCCTATCTTTTTTTTAAATAGAACGCGTAGCACACACACACACAAACAAACAAACATACAGCACACCATTGCAGAAGATCGTATGAGCAAATTTAAATTGATAACCTACGTGTACAGGTTGGAGCAACCCCAGTCCAGGTACGATCAGCTTGGCAGGTTAAACTGGAGGTTCCGACGCGGTCGTATCCAGAATTGCACGTGAATTCCACCATGTCCTGGTAGTAATTACTGCCAGTCATTGCACCGTCCACGGGAGCTGTCAGCAGCGGACACTGTACGCCTAGCACGGTGAAAATGGGATTTTAGAAACTCTTTCATGTCTACAAAACTCAATATAGCTTGTAAAAAAATACAGATTCTATTCAAAAGAAAAAAATATTCTAATCATACAATATATATATATATATATATATATATATATATATATATATATATATA